AGTGCGCGCGCTGCAACAATTCCAGTCTCAATGTCGGCTGCGGGATTGCCAAACACCTTTAGTGCCTGCTTGGATGCAGAAAAGAGCTGCTTCAGATAGTTGCTGTAGCTGTGCACCAGTTGCTCTTCGTGCATGCGCTGCTGCCGTACATCCTTTGTTACTTTGGCATGCTGCTCCTTCTCCGTCAGCTCGCGAATTCGGTACTCTGGAAGAATATCGCAGAACACAGCGAGCTGTGTCAACAGTCCTAGACGCTTGACCCGTGGATCTGCGTCAGAGCTAATGCGGTGCAGTGTCTTCAGATATTTTACTCCATTGTCAGGGTCCTGCATAATCACATCTGCGATAGTCGCAAGCCGGTTCTGCTGAGCGATAATGTACTGCTTGCGCGTCATCCGATTCCGATCTGGCTCAATAACATAGTCTTCCTGCTCCTCCAGGGTAGCCTCTGCATGGCCTGGACGCGCAGAGTTCTCCTGATCTTGGTTGCTTTCAGAATCCGCCTCTGAAGCAGACTGATCATCTTCGGCAGACTGCTCGCTTTTATCATCACTCTCGCCATCGGTGTGCGTGCTGCCCGAACTCTCATCGCCCTCTTCGTCAGAGCTCTCTTGCAGCGCCAGCCGCCCATCTGCAGTCTTGATTGGCAGCTTGTTGGTCAACTTTGGCTTTTTCTCGGTTTGCTCAAACTGCCTCGCGTTATGCTCATAATTCATCTCGCCGCCAAATATAGCCTTGCGTTTCTGCGCTTTCCGAGCCTTGCTGTTCACAAAGTCATAATCTCCGTCAGACATGCCATCCTCTTCGGCCATGCTTTCGGCATCATCGCTCTCTGCTTCAGATTCTGTCAACGCAAGGTCTTCCAACAAATCCGAGGCCTCGATCTCGCTGCTGTTATCCTCGTCGCCCTGGTCGCTCAATACTTCCAAGTCCGAATCGCTTTCCTCGGGAACTATTCCAAAATCACTCTCCTCGTCTTCGCTCTCGGTAAGCTCTCCAGGTTGCACAACCTTGTTGGTTTCTGCTGTAATACGCGCCTTCTTTTTCTTGGGCTCCTTCTTCACGTTTGTCAGGCTCTCCGGGTTCACTGTACTTAGAAAACTTAGGCTGTGCGCATTTGCTTGCACAAAGTCCACATCATCCTCGTCTGGCTCGACTTCCGAGTCAGACCCTCCGGGTTGTTTTACAGGAACTACTGGTGTATTCTTCTCCTTCTTCGCCTTCTTCGATCGCTTATCCTGTGGCTTTCCACCCTTCGTCTTGGCAGCTTTGCCCTTGGCGCCTCTGCTCTTCGTTGCAGGTGCCGCTCCTTTGCCCGCCATTCCCGCAAGTAAACCTTGTGTGTGTAGAACTGTAAATAGTATATAGACAGCAACTGTTAATTTGCAACTGGCCTGGCAAGAAAGAAAGTGAGAAAAAAGGCTGCGCCTAAAGTGCCAGAAAATATTTTTTTTTTTTACTGAGGACCTTGATCAGATGAGGTAGATCCATCATCGCTGTGATCTTCAAACAAGAGAAGACGATTGCTGGTGCTGATGCTTGTTCGTCTGTCTGCGCTTCCGCCGCTCTGCCTTCGACTCGTATTCATGCCAGTCGCCTGAAACTGGGAACTCGGTTGGCGGCATAGGCTCCGGTGCCTCGAGGAAAAACCTATGATCCAGGCACTTTCTAGCAGATGGGCGGACACTTGGGTCCAGCTCCAGCATCCAGCTAATCAAGTCCACCGCACTAGTCGTCATCTTCGAGCTTAGCATTGCCCGCAGCCGGTTGTCATACCGAGTATTTGGCGTCATGTAGCACGCCCAGGGCAGCTTCTTAAACTTGTCCCAGATATCCTCTGAGGGCGTACCAACTACCTTGAATATTTGCTCGAGCTGGTCAATGTCGTTTTGGCCTTGGAACGCCGGCTTCTTCAGGAATAGCTCAAGTATTACGCATCCCAGCGACCATATGTCAACCTCGGGCCCATATAGCGTGGTCCCAAGTAACAGCTCAGGTGGGCGGTACCATAGTGTGATAACGCGGTTGGTAAACTCTTGCATGCGTGTGTGGTGGAATGACCGTGCCAGACCAAAATCCACAAACTTGACCTGCCCCTGTCGGTTCACAAGTAGGTTGGACCCTTTAATGTCGCGATGCAAGATGCCGCGCTCGTGCATGAACCCCAGTCCTTCAAGCAACTGCTGCATCAGCGACTTGCGCTGCGCCAAGTCTGGGTTCCACTGCGGGTGGTTTATAAGTCCCGACAGATCATAGTCCATGTACTCCATCACCACGTTGACTGCCATGCCAGACTCGGAAACCACATCAAGCACCTGCGTGATGTTGGGATGCTGGAGCTGCTTCAGCAGTCGAATCTCGCGCATTGCCGTTATTGGAAGGCCATCCCGCTCCGCCTCTATACGCATCCGCTTCAGCGCAACCACTTGCCCGGTTTCCTTGTTGCGCGCCTTGTACACCATGCCGTATGTTCCCTTTCCCACCATGCTGATCTGCGTGTATAGTTGGATCCCTTCTGTCGGGCTGGTCTGCTTGGGCGTGGTCGGCGTCAATGGGCTGCCTGTATCCAGGGTGCTGCGCATATGCTTCGAAGATACAGGTTTTGCTCCGTAAGTGTCCGCTACAGACTGTTCCTGCTGTTGATGCAGCAATGCCATCGCGGGAGGAGGAGGCGGTGGTGGTGGGGTCATAGGCGGCGGCAACGGTGGTGGTGGCGGCGGAGCCCCAGATGGCAGTGGAGGTGGTGGAGGTGGTGGATGGGTGTGGATGTCGCGCTCTGCACCATCGTATGCAGCTCCGCGCCTATTATTCCTCAGCGACTCATCGCGCGTGTCACCAAATCCGCCATGTCTCGACCGACTCTCAGGAGGCCCTCTTGCCTGCTGCCGTTGTCGTGACCGCGATCTGGCAAACATGGCGCTCTGCGAAGGCAGACTATTGTCAGTTCCATCATGAGGCCGCTTGTGCGCCTGTCTATACTCTGGAAAGTCGCGCGAGCGAGATCGCTTTCGGTACTGTCTGCCCTGGCCGCCTTCGGCGTGACTCATATATTGGATACCATGGCGGCTATACCTGCCACTCTGTCTAGACTCACGTCCGTCAGCATGGCTAGGCGATTGATGGCGCTGATGGTATCTTGAATCGTGCCGCGCAGCATCCACGTCGTGACCGCCACGATAGCGGGTCCCTGGCTCATCTTGCGGATACGAGCGCCCATATCCGTGCGATCTAGACGGGCGATCGTCACGACTCTCATATGCTCGAGACTGGCTCGGTCGCCGCTGCCTCCAATCATCCACATCGTCACGCCGACTCCGTCGGCTGAATCGATGAGTGTGGGCATGGCCAGAAGGGGCCCAGGCGCCACCACGAGCAGACCGGCTCCCACTGCCACGACGTGCTCTGAGTTCATGTCGGCTGTGCGATTCACTTTGCCTTGCAGAGTCTTCTGTATGTGCAAATGAATAGCCGTCGCCGTTTCTTACGCGTCTTTCGACAGAACCGCCTCCCCTATATTCCATGTCCCTGCCTGTCGACATGAAAAGGCGTGTGTTACGGTGGTGTTTTTTAAACCAGCGTAGCCGCTTCTGATGCTCTTGCAGAGTTCAATTGCGGATTAACAGAGAATGTACAACATGCAAAAAAAACCAAAAGGAAAAAGGAGTGCAATCGGAATTGGTGCTAACAAGCCAAGTTAAAAGCTAAAAAGGCGAAAAAGATTTAAAGATGGGAAGCAACGTGGGGGGTGCTAAAAACTAATTCAAACTTTTCTATGCTGCAAGTGGATATAAAAAGTTGGCCTTGCACAAATATAGATGGACCGCAGTTCACTTGCAATGGCTGACAGCCATCTTTGATGTTGACATCCGCGCTCAATACGTAGGATGGCCTTGTGGCCGTAAAACCTTCTTTGAACGAGAATAGCTTTGCCAAGGTGCCGTATTGTGTCTATCTTTGGCTGGTTTCAACAGGTATCTGATACTTTTAGTTCGTTTTAATTTCTTGTGGCTAGCTATCCACCTTGTCCTAGATCGAGCAGAGCCTTTTGCGCCGCTAACGCAAGCCGAGCATAGCATCTACTAAAACCATCAGTATTACAGAGACGCCAGAAGAGAATATATAGTGAAACCTGATCCTCTCTGAACGTTAAAAAAGCAAGCTTTAAAAGCAGCATTTATTAAAAAGGAAGCCTGGAGTTCAAATACATTTAGAAATCTTTAACGGATAATAAAGCCCGGCTGGCGCAATGGATAGCGCATGTGACTTCTATGGGCTTTTGTCCTGCGAGCAATCACAAGGTTGCGGGTTCGACCCCCGCGTCGGGTTTAACGTGCTTTTTGCCACTTTTTTATTGTTTGTTGATGCTTCCAGCGTGTCATGGATGCTCATCTTTTAGCATCTGTTACTGACGGAGCGCATGTTTGCTTCTGAACAAGCAAAAAAATAAAAGTTGCTTGATCAGGACAATTGGAAAAAATAAACTGTATGGGTAGATCAGCATATTTGGCAATTTTGTGTTGGCGTGAAACGCTAGCTGTCCCACCAGTGCTCTTCCCCGTCTTGGTGTCTTTTCTTTCTTTTTTTCTACTTTTTGTTTGAAAATGAGCCTTAGTGCGCGCATTGACCAGAGCCTGGATCAGATTATAAGAGAGACTCGTCAGCAAAAGCAGCCACAGAAGAAAGCTAAAAAGGCAGCTGCGGTAACCATGGGCAAGAGCACTGCAGCAGCCTCGAGTTCAAAGGTAAAGGAAGCGAAGAGGAACCGCCGTAATTTGCTTTGTGACGCGTCCAAAACGGCGAATCAGCAGCAATTACTGATAGCATCGTATGTATGTATCCTTTTTATTAACTGTAGCGTCGCTCAAAGAACCGGTCGAGCACAGGAGCCAGTGCATCGAGGGTTTCGGACGCGCTTGCAGCGCGACTGGGCAAAGGTGCCGCATCTAGCAGAGTACTAGGGAAGGGATCTGGGCCTTTGGCGGGCAGAGTCGGGAAGGCCAAAAGCAATGACAAAGGAAGCAGCGGTCGTCTGGCGGGGCTTGCTGACAGGCGCAATGCTGCACAGTCTTCAGCCGGGGCAGAGTCATCCAAGAAGCGAGAGAAGGCAATGAATATTTCGATCAAGGGTGAGGCCGGTCCTGCAGCAGTATTTATCTCCAATTTGGATCCAGAAGCATCGACTGAAGACGTCAAGACGTGCTTCAAGCAGTTTGGAACAGTCAGAGATTGCACATTGCTTTATGACAGCAATGGGAAGGCGTCGGGCCATGCGCAGGTGACATACACGGTAAAGCCAGCGGCTGAAGAGGCAGTGGCTAAGCTGAATAACGCTCTGGCGGACGGACGCAGACTGTCAGTGAATCTGATGCCGCCTGGCAAGGGCGTGACAACAGCGCCGAACATGGCACCATTTGTCGCGCCCCAATCATATGGATCAGCGCGTAGGGGCGGTAGGAAGCCAAGAAGGAGCGGCGGACCAGGCGGCGGTAACCGAATGGATATTGACTAGGACGTTTATTTTCTCGTGTAGCTTCGCATGGTTTCTTCTAAATATCTGAGTGTTTTTTTTTTTTTTGGCATTGTGCGGTGGGTGACAAAGAACGCGCGTACTGAGAACACGCGTTCAAATAATTCCACCGCTTTTAAAAAGCAATCTTGCACACCCTGTCCAGAAATACAGCTGACAGAAGCAACATGCGATACTCCTTACTGGGTTGCGTGAGATTTCTACATCTACATTTGGCTTCGCCGATCAGAAATGTATTTGCGCGATTTAGAGTGCGCGTTGGCTTTCAGGCCAGCCTCACGTGCAATTGTGCATTCTTTCAATAACATTTAAAGACAGGTGCTTCGCCGTAAGCTTCG